CGTGGCATGTTTGACTTCTGAGGCGTGTTTGAAAACCAAAGCATTTATTTCCGGGTTTATGGTGTTTGAAAACCGAAATGTTTATCAATGGAGACTTTTGAAAACTGAGGTACCACTGTATTTTAAAAGACAGATAGGAACTGCACACCAGCTTTCTTTTCAGGTGGTAAATGATAGCACACAAATCTTTCCCATAGCACAACTATTCATAACATGCAGGCAAGCTTTTGCACTTCTGTGGCTGTGGATGAGACATTCAGAAGTATCCGCAAAGAGAAGAGTTAAGATGCGCTTTGTGCAGAAAGGTCCTTGGAGCTCAACAAGTAGGAAAGTCTTGCAGGGCTAAGAAACTGTGGTAAGTCTTGATGGGGCTGACAGCTGAAGCTGTAAATTCCTGGGAAGCTGGAACAAATTCATTAACAACTCTTCTGCTAATTTAATTAGGAAATTAATGCTGAAAGCTGTGTTGCTTGACTCATTAGTTCTTCTTTTGTCAGTCACAGCTGTTAACATCTTCCTTAACATATGTTAAAATCCTTTTGGGGGTTTTGCCCTTAGCTTGTAAACCCTACATATTTCTTTTTGTATATGCTTTCTGTGTAACGTGTTCAGTCCTTAAGCAATATTAGTGCAGGGAGTTTGCACAGCGATCTGTCATGACAAATTTTCCCTCTGAGAAGGGAAAGCTTGAGACTCATTTTGAAAACTTTATTTAAACAAACAAACAAACCCAACAACACTTATTCGGTTTAAGCTTTAAAATAGTCATTTGGGCATTGCCTGGACTAAAAGAGGCTTTTCAAGAATACAACGCGCTTTTCTGGAAGTATTCAAGCAGATGTTGGATGGCTGTCTTTCAAGAATTCTGTCAGCTGCAAGATTCCTGCATTGACAGAGGATTGTAGTAGATGACCTTAAACAGGTGTGGGGAACTTTTGGTCCTCCAGATGTTTCTAGAATAAATTCCCATCATCCCTGGTCATCTTCTGTATTATAAACCACTCCCCTCCCCCACCAACCCCAACAAAAGTCCTTGGAAAAACCTCTTGGTTTAAATTCCGACTAGAACTGTTGATAGATTGACAGGTAGAAAACCGAGTTCTTATTAAATGGCAATTCCAAGTCAATAACAGCTCACTTTGCAGGAGCAACTGACAGATCGTTAAAGTCTAATGCTATATGTTGTCAAGGAGATCCATCTACTACAGCAAGCTTTTTTCTGTATGTGCATGGCCATCCAGGAATTATGCTTGAAGTAAGAGGTTTCTTATCCCAAGCGATTTGCAAAAATAGCGGATAGTGTAGCTTCTGCTTTCTTTACTATCTTAATATTGCTTTTCAAAGAGGGACTCCCTGGTTATTTATATAAAGGTAAAGGTAAAGGGACCCCTGACCATTAGGTCCAGTCGTGACCGACTCTGGGGTTGCGGCGCTCATCTCACTTTACTGGCTGAGGGAGCCGGCGTACAGCTTCTGGGCCATGTGGCCAGCATGACTAAGCCGCTTCTGGCGAACCAGAGCAGCGCACTGAAATGCCATTTACCTTCCCGCTGGAGTGGTACCTACTTATCTACTTGCACTTTGAGGTGCTTTCAAACTGCTAGGTTGGCAGGAGCAGGGACCGAGCAATGGGAGCTCACCCTGTCGTGGGGATTTGAACCGCCGACCTTCTGATCAGCAAGTCCTAGTGCTTAAATTAAATTTCAAAAAGCCACATTAGGACAATACCTATATGTGGTGAACTAAAATGTCACAAAAGCTTCCCAATTTAAGTCTCTGGGGGTGTCGGTAAGATATGATTCCTGTCTCACCTCTATGCACAAGGTGAGATCAGGGCTGGGCTTCAGACTTGTGCTACAAAGGTGTTGCCTTTAACACACAGCGAGGGATGAGAGAATATATTAGCTCTACCCTCCCTGCCACAGGCGCTGGCTCCTAGGAGCTGAGGCACCTTTGCGCCCCGCCCCCCCCAGTGGTTTTTTTGAATGAAGTTTGGATCCGGCGTAGCTTCATGTTGGCATACTTTACACCAGCTTGCATTCTTGTGCCTAGGATTGCTCTCTTATTTTTTTTGTACACGGTGTATAGATTTTGTATTTTTTATTTCACAACCAAGCGGTATGTAAATATTGTTAAACTAAAAAAATTAAACTGGGGAAGCCGACGAGTGAAAGCAAGATAGCTATGTCACAGCGGAAAGTAGAGAGCCAGTATCTTGGCCTGATGTTCATCACCAGCTGCACTTCAAAACACATTCCCACCTGTCTCCCGAGCATGAAAATTGCTCAGTGGCGATCTGAAACCAATCGGATTGTAGCCGCAGTCTGTTGCGTACAGAGCAATAGCTGTGGGTTGCCTTAATCCCCCAAAGCAAACAAGTGAAAATTGGTAATCTGTTTTGCAGTTTGGATTTATTGCGTTTATCTCCACAGTAACTTGATTTGCGAAAGAACACGATTGTTGCCTGAGCCAGTGGGTGCATTTATTTTAATAAAATGCAATTAAGCAAATGTTGACATTGCCGCCAGCGACTGCCTGAAAAGAAGGCAGGCCCATTAAGCATTAAAAAAAAACCACCCAGAATAACTGGAAAGATTTTAAAAGTTCCCCAAATTGTGTCAATATAGGATGGGGGGTGGGTTTGTCATTATTGGTGCTATAGACACTGTTAAATAGGGTTCCATGCATGTGTACTCCATTAAAATGCTCACAATATAAATATTGGTTCATCATTTGGGCAAAAATATTATATTCCTACCACTGAAATAGTGGGGTATGGATCATGGAAAGAATTGTGATACCGGCATAAAGGGTGGGCAGTCTTAAGGAAAGAAGTATGGGTTCCACACAAGAACAAATGAATAACTTTTTTTTTTTAATGCACAGAAGCCCATCTATTTCATTGAGCTGGATCCAAAGTTTCTATTCCCCCCCTCTCTCTTTCTCTCTCTCTGTAAATATCTATTTTTATTTATAGTTATCCAAAGATGTACAAAAGTTCATACCCAATACAAATTATATTTTTATAAAGCACCGGAACAAAAGAAATGCTTTTAAAATCTAATCGAAATGGGAACAGAAGCAAAAAGAAGAAAAAAGGAAAAGAAAAGAAAAAGAGACAGCAAGAAAAGAAAACGAAAATAGATTTTTAAAAAGGTAATAAAACTTCTGGTTCTCTGTCCTTCAGCTAAATGCACTCATTAACATCCATTTGTTCTATTTTCTATAAGCCAATATTCTTTCAGTCTTCAAATCTAGATATTAAAAGTTCATTCTTTCTTTCATGCAAAAAGTCCATCGGAAGTTTCCAATCCTTAATAAAGAAGAAAAAAATCAATAACTAAGTTCAATAATCAATACTATTTTTCTAGAAAAAGAAGCTTCCCTTATTCTCTTATAATGGCAATGATGCCCACCTGAGAGGTGCCAGAACTGAGTTCCAGTGAGTTTGGGCTGAAAAAAAGCACAGCCTATAATGTGGGGATGATCTAACACAGTGGTTCCCAACCTTCTTTTGGCCATTCCCCATCTAAGCATCTCTAAAACCCTGATGCCCCCCCGTGACATATATTCCATATAATTAAAAAAGTAAACTCTTATTCACGTGGAGGAAGCCTAAAAGGCCGTTCACAGTTAATAACTCATTCTCGAATTGCTCCCCTTAAAAATCAAATTGCCCCCCTGTGGGGCATGTGCCCCACTTTGGGAACCACGGATCTAACGAAACTTGTACAGACAATAATGAGTGAGATGGACCAATGGCCTGGAATCTACAAACATATTAAAAAAATGCTATGGAAATGCTTAAAAAAAAAACTTTTTGAAAAATACATTGAATTTTGCATAGCCCGCTGTCACCACCTAGTGTCACATTTGTATATTGCACATTATAACACATTTAAAATGTTTTAATTGCAGCTGTGTAGATGAGTCCTCTGTGTAATCATTTGGGGGCTAAATAAAATTTTGTACTTGATCACGCTACCACTGGAGGGAAAATAATGAAATTTGGTAATATCGTGCACTGAGCGAGGACAACATTCAGTGCAAAACACCCCCCCAATAGTTTTTATTTTCACAATGATTCCCTTTGGAATAGAGTTTGTTAAAATGCCTTCCTATTGCCTTCCGTTTGGCGCATGCTCTCAAGGGCACTCTTTTCATCCCTCTTGGCTCAGTGAAGGGAAACCGCCCGCACCACCCTTAATCCAGTGCAGGGAAACCGCCCGCACCACCCTTAATCCAGCGCTGGGGGAAGATGCTTCTGGAATGTTCCCTTGTGTTCATGTCAAGTTCACCTTTGAATGCAAATGGAATTGAATTTCTCCCCATTCCTAAGTAGCCCTCACAAATTTAACTATTGGCTAATTGTCAGGAGTTCAGCCTACACTCGAGTAGGACTCTGGCAGAGACTCATGCCCAACTGACATGTTCTCCCCCTCCTGGCTGAGCGTTCAGGAGCTTCATAAACTTTCTTCAGCCCGAACCTCACAGCGACCGATGCCAACCGACACCGGCACACTTAGGGATCCGCAGAGTTTGAGCAACTTGTGTGACAGACCTCAGCAACTCAGCATTTTGGCTAATCTACTTTATTTACACACATGGAGCACTGCAGCATGGCTCCCTCGCTCTCTAGCAACAGAAAGCAAAGAGAAAAAGAACAAAGGACAACAGTCCCACTTCACGGAACACAGTAACACAAACATCCTGTCTCCATCACTTCCCACTCTGTGGAGTCAAAACATATACCGTCATGTGAAGGACAAAAATCCCATGACTGCGATCATAGATCAGGAATTCTAACACTAATTAGACAAAACCAACATGGCAGACCTGTCCTGGGAGGGCATTCCACATTTGTAAGTAACAGAATCAACTTCTGCGAATGACAGCTGCCAAGGCAGGATCGTTTGGTAAAACAGTTGTCTGTGTCCTCCCTTCATCATGCTGCTATGAGCACTTAGCACCACCACTGTCGCTGTGGCAGAGCCTTTTGCAAGTAACTGATGAACGCTGTCAATTAGGGCGCCTGATCAAAGCAGCTTGCAGAGCCCAGGCGGGGATAGAGGCTTAGGTCAGAATTGGCCAAGGTATCTCAGAGGAATACCAGAACGATATGCAGTTGGGTCACCGAGGCTGCTGGAAAGGGGGCTGCATTGCAAATGAGCACCAGCGGTAATTATTTACAGTACTTTTGATCCTGTCTGTGAATGCTATTTTTGGCTCTGCTGTGTTTCCAACAAGCCTGGAATTGTTTGTTAATTGAAACCACCTCCACTTCTCTGACAAGAGATTACCATATTTGACAGACTCGTTATAAGCAGTTCCCGTTTAACAGTGGATGCTCTTTGTTGTTGCTAGGCAGCTATGCGCATTCCAGCAGCGAGATGCTGCTCCCTGGGCCATGGCTAATTTTATAGTGGGTGAGTTTTGCAGAGCTACAGCACGCTACATTTTGTTTTGCCTCTCTGGTTTTGTTTTATATCTTCTGTTTGCCTGCCCTGAATAAAGATGTAGTTGGGATGACGGCGAGGATAAAACAAATGTCATTAAAGGGTCTAAATATAATTGACAAGTTGCTATAATGTGAAATCGTTCATGACTGGGGTAGTGATTAATGGTGCATTTCTCTTTATATCACAATTAGCAGACTTTGCCCAGGGATTATAAGAACGCCCCCCCCCCCGCCCAGAAAAATCAGCATAGTTTTGAAATCACTGCAGTTTTGAAAGGTTCAGCCCACCATCTTGATTCAAAATGGCACCCAATGGTATCTAAACATAGATGGAAACTTGCTGTTTGATTTATGATAACTTAAGAAGTATGCATAGCTAGCAGACAAACCGCTTTCAAAAATACCGCATTTAGCAGACTAGTGGAAGGTACTCAGCATTGCTCAAGAATTCTGAGGAACAGAAGAACACTGAGAGTTGAAAATGGATAATGTCATTTGTTACCCGGTAGTTTCCTGCCAAATATGGTTAAACTCAGTGGAGTCTGGAACAGTCCAGTCCGCCATCTTGATGTGAAAAGGACATAATATGACCAACACCACCAGTTCTTATAAATATAGCCTGGTAAAAGGCCTGGAGATGTAAAACAACATGACTGAATGACAACATAATTAAATAACAGCAGCATCTTAGACCGGTGGTGTTTGGTGCCTATATTTAACATTAGCTTATCTTATAACGTTCATGGTGTAGCAAAGAATGACTTCAGTTATGTTTGGAATCCTAATCCAATGGATGGAATTTAGTGCTGGAGAAACAGTGAAATGATCTATAAACCATAAGAACAGCAAAATATCCAGCTCTTGGTTTGATGGCTAATTGTGGTTGTTTTTTTTGGGGGGGGTAGGTAGTACAGTTTGCATTCTACAAGCATAGATATGCTCTTGGAAATTATCCCTTCTTTAAGTTTTTTAAATTCTCCCTGTTATCAAATTGATATAAATCTGTTTCTAATTTATAAGAACATAGCTGTTGTGTTGCTTTTGAATTATGGTGCTGGAGGAGACTCTTGAGAGTCCCATGGACTGGAAGAAGATCAAACCTATCCATTCTTAAGGAAATCAGCCCTGAGTGCTCACTGGAAGGACAGATCCTGAAGCTGAGGCTCCAATACTTTGGCCACCTCATGAGAAGAGAAGACTCCCTGGAAAAGACCCCGATGTTGGGAAAGATGGAGGGCACAAGGAGAAGGGGACGACAGAGGATGAGATGGTTGGACAGTGTTCTCAAAGCTACAAACATGAGTCTGACCAAACTGCGGGAGGCAGTGGAAGACAGAAGTGCCTGGCATGCTCTGGTCCAGGGGGTCACGATGAGGCGGACACGACTAAACGACTAAACAACAACAAAGCTGTCGTATAGAAACCAGCTGCCTGATAGCTGAGCTGCCATTTACCAGACCATTAGTCCAGCTACCCACTACATAGATTGGTAGCATGGATTTCGGACTGGAATCTTGCCCAGGGAATGAATCTGGAACCTGAATGTAATGCTTTGCATTGCCACCGTCTTTCCTCACGACCCACATACTGTAATGCATTTTGTTGCACTGTAGCCCTTCACAGTTAATAATGAAAAAAGAAATACATAATTGACTACAAACTTCACTTGGTCTAAAATGGGATCTCCTTTGCCTGCAGCAACATTTGCCAAGCGACTTCAAAGCCTAAGTCCCCACCTTCCTGGAGAAGTTATCCTGTCAACACCTTCCCCTTCCTTTTCACAGTGCTGTAGACAAGCTGCTTTGTCATTTAGCAAGCACTCAACATCTCTATGGCAACTGCTGTACGGCAACTGAGAAGGAATGCATTAGGAAAGGGTTTAATGTGATTTTAGCTCTTTCTAGTGATGAGCTGCATCAACTGGAAACATAATTAATTTTAATTTAACATTGCAATTTCCCCCCGTCCTCTCTCCTTAAAAACAGCCTATGGCGGGATGCATAATATTTAAAAAACATTGCATTATTACAGAAAATATTTAGCATAACAAAGTAAATGAGCACACTCTTTTTGCAAGGAAGATAAATGGGATTGGTTTTGGCAGGCCGTCAGCAAGATCGCAAACACCACTGGGCACCTGTGCACTGTGATCTGAAACCAATGTCCGCTGAAAGTTTTGTTCCAGTCTCAGGTTGCTTCCAGATGACATTGGCTGTTTACTAAGCATTCATCTTGATTTTGTTGCAAGGTAGCTCAAAGGCGCCGACTATAATGAGCATCTGTTTTGATTTGTTTGTGGGAGGTTAGAGGTTATCCCACATTTTCCAGTGCAGTTGCAGGATGGCAGAGTTGGAATGGACCCCGTCTAGTCCAAAAGTCATCTGGTCCAAAAGTCAGGGGGTTTTGTTTCTGTTTTTACAGGACGGGGAAGAGGTTTGTTGTGCCAAACCTGCAAACCTATCTTAATTGCAACAACCAGAATTTGATGATCTATAGCTGAAAAAGGGAGGCGGGTGGCGCTGTGGTCTAAACCACTGAGCCTAGGGCTTGCCGATTGGAAGGTCGGTGGTTCGAATCTCCACGATGGGGTGAGCTCCCGTTGCTCGGTCCCAGCTCCTGCCAACCTAGCAGTTCGAAAGCACGTCAAAGTGCAAGTAGATACCGTATTTTTTGCTCTATAAGACTCACTTTTTCCCTCCTAAAAAGTAAGGGGAAATGTGTGTGCGTCTTATGGAGTGAATGCAGGCTGCGCAGCTATCTCAGAAGCCACAACAGCAAGAGGGATTGCTGGTTTCACTGTGCAGTGATCCCTCTTGCTGTTCTGGCTTCTGAGATTCAGAATATTTTTTTTCTTGTTTTCCTTCTCCCAAAACTAGGTACGTCTTGTGGTCTGGTGTGTCTTATAGAGCGAAAAATACGGTAAATAGGTACCACTTCAGTGGGAAGGTAAACGGCATTTCCGTGCGCTGCTCTAGTGCAAAGGGACTTCATTGAAAGACCTACATTGGCTCCCAGTACGTTTCCGAGCACAATTCAAAGTGTTGGTGCTGACCTTTAAAGCCCTAAACGGCCTTGGTCCAGTATATCTGAAGGAGCGTCTCCACCTCCATCGTTCTACCTGGACACTGAGGTCCAGCACCGAGGGCCTTCTGGCGGTTCCCTCGCTGCGAGAAGCCAAGTTACAGGAAACCAGGCAGAGGGCCTTCTCGGTAGTGGCACCTGCCCTGTGGAATGCCCTCCCAACAGATGTCAAAGAGAAAAACAACTACCAGACTTTTAGAAGACATCTGAAGGCAGCCCTGTTTAGGGAAGCTTTTGATGTTTGATGCATTACTGTATTTTAATATTTTGTTGGAAGCTGCCCAGAGTAGCTGGGGAAGCCCAGCCCGATGGGCGGGATATAAATAAATTATTATTATTATTATTATTATTATTATTATTATTATTATCTGGAGGGTTGGAGGAATCCCCAGGACAGATTTAAGGGGCATGCAGTGGAGGGGAGGACAATAACATTCCATTGCAGAAGGAGAAATCCCTGTGCTCTTGACAGAATGTTTTCCTTAGTTCTATGTTGAATACAGGGACGCAGGTGGCGCTGTGGGTTAAATGACAGAGCCTAGGACTTGCTGATCAGAAGGTCGGCGGTTCGAATCCCCGCGACGGGGTGAGCTCCCATTGCTCGGTCCCTGCTCCTGCCAACCTAGCAGTTCTAAAGCACGTCAAAGTGCAAGTAGATAAATAGGTACCACTCCGGTGGGAAGGTAAATGGTGTTTCTGTGTGCTGCTCTGGTTCGCCAGAAGCGGCATAGTCATGCTGGCCACATGACCCGGAAGCTGTACGCCAGCTCCCTTGGCCAATAAAGAGAGATGAGCGCCACAACCCCAGAGTCGGTCACGACTAGACCTAATGGTTACGGGCCCCTTTACCTTTACCTTCATGTTGAATATAACCCTAGAGTAGAAAAAGAAAAAGAAAAAGTTGGTGTTTGGAGGTGAACTGCCTTGGCAGACTTTCAGAACATGAGAAACAACCTGTGTCCTGTTTCAACAGTGGTAGTATAGATTTTCCGTATAAATAATGGAATTTAATCGAAAAGCGTTCCAGTTAATCCTATTATGCAACCCGTTTGCAAGCATAAACTTGATGGATCTCCCAAAACAAATTGAGCAGTTTGATCTCTGCAGCCCGCTGTGAGTAAAATTTCATTAGCAATAACTGTCTTTTATTTAGCAAAATAGCATGGCAGTTACAGAACAGTTCTTTAAGCAGAAAGCAAATGCTGATCAATGTGGAAACAAGGTTTAACCCGGAGTTGTGTGTGAATGGCTTCTTGTAATTTTCAAGCCTGACTGTGGGCAGAAACACATGAGGAACCATTGCACCAAATTTCTCCGCAGAGAGAATTTTTCCAGCAGTTTCTCAAGGGTGGGGCCGGGGGCGGCAGAGGTTCACCATTAGCTTTTGCTGAGGCTTTTGCTATGAATTTGCACCCTCCATAATGCCCCAGACTTAGGGTTGTGCTGTGGCATTGTATGTGTGTGAAACAGCAACCACTGCAAAATATCAACAGAAAAATGGTGGAGAGTATTCTGAGTAAATTCTACAAAGTGGGCATCTTTTTTTTTAGTGGGGTGGGGGGTCATCTCTGAAAGCTTCTCAGAAGTTGTTGAATTCCAACACCCATCAACCCAGTGGTCATAGCCACTGGAATGATGG